ACAATTTGATGTAGAGACGTTCGGACCATAAAAAAGGAGTCCCAATTTGCTGTCATCTTTACTGCTGCGCAGTCCGGGAATCGTTCTCCAAAATTATTGCCAAAGTGGGCCTTCTCGTTCTGCCCATGACGCCCTGCTCTACCTTCTTGGCTTAGATTATCAATTCTTCTAAAATGCGTTCATAGGAGGTGCGGGTGTAGGATGTCGTCGTATTCTTATACTTGGCAGCCCAAAAAATGTTATCTTCGTCTTTCTCCAGGCAGACGAATTAGATATTTTGCTCGAGTAATCGCTTGATAATTGTTGCATTGCATTTGTAACAGTTTATGAGCTCTATCCCACAAAGCCTCCGTAAAGCATTCCGGCTTCTCCCGAAAGCTTACTATAAATCCCTTACATCCCCTGGCGCCTACCTTGAGACGCTGCACACTATTCCGCAATCTCCGGAGATCCTCAGAAAAGATTTACGCTTCTTAAATATTGATCAGATAATTTTTCAAGGTTGCTAACGGTTCGCTTGCGTCGTTTGTACCTCCAAGTTGTTCCGAGCAATGTCAAGTTGAAAAGAAAATGTTGCAAGATACGGTGGCCAGGCAGGTATGTTCTAATGAATCACCTCGTCTATCTTTGCTCTACTGCAGGTTTTAAATATATTTTATTGAGAGAAGAATGCATACCATAAGTTCCTCAAATTTACCTTGTACATAGGTATCAATTCGCTCAGCATAATTCTTCAGTGAGAGCGATATTGTGTGCCTCAAACATTTTGCATAAATCAAAAAGGCTTTAGAAGTCTTAGATTACCTGATGATCGGCTTTGTGTTATCTATAATTTTACACTAAAGGAAAGCTTCGCTTGCGAATTTGTTTATTTTAACTAATACTTTGAACCTTACTTTCCTGATAAATAAACTCATTTAATGGTGCAGTATGGTAAAGTACTAATAAACAGTTCTATAGAGAAAGCAATCTTTTCTATAATAGCGCTGTGACTGGAAATCATTATATAAGAAGACTCTATTGCAGAATGCCGACCTAAGTCGATTACGAATGGACTGCGAGCGTTTGAGCGCTGTAGACATTCGAAAGGACATTCGAATTTCAGAGTTGAACAAAGAGGTTGAATCAGCGAAGGCAAGGATCGTCGCGTTAGAAGGTGCAAGGAACTTTCAAGTTTTAAGAAGCTGAGATTCTGTTTTTCTATCTAGAGTTTCTAGAAATCGTATTTTTCCACTATTTGCTGCGCTGCTTCGTCATTTTGTTTATCATTCTTTTTGCAGAACTATGCCGTAACCAAATGGACGGCATCCTGTCAACGGCATCTTCATCTTCATTTGAACGCAAGGAAGGATCGCAGAAAGAAGAGACAGCTCATCAAGGAGGTTTGTAAATGTGCGAGCGCGACAGTTGAAAAGATTTGTTGAATTAAAAATCCAGAAAGAAGAAATTACGTTTACATAAGATGTTAAAGTGTTCTAGGAAGAAAGCTGCGGAAAAAATTAAATAGCCATCGCAGGCTTATTCACTTCCGAGAAGCAAAGATATTATAATAGTGTTTCGAAAGTTATTATGCTGCGC